GGGGCTGGCCGGCCTCCGGCTGGCCTCGCGCCCCCCCTCCCCCGCTGCCCGCACTCACATGGCCGCGATCTTGATGAACTTCTTGAGCAGCTGCGCGCGCTTCCCCGGGGCCTCGCAGAGCAGCACCTCGGTGGCCACCCAGTGCGTGACCTCGCTGCAGCGCTGCAGCAGCAGCTCCAGATTAGCCGTCTCCCTGCGGCCGCGCTCCCCGTGGAACACGTAGTCCACAAATTCCAGCTGCACCCACCAGGGCAGAGGGGTGGTGGGGCGCAGGGGTGTGGGTGGGACGATGGCAGAGCAAGGCAGGGAGGAGGGAAAGGCAGAAGGGCGGGGGCGGGACGAGTGGAAAATAGAAAAACAGGGACAGGACAGGATGCAACAGGATGAGGAGAAGCAAACAACCAACATTAGTAATATTCCGCCATCTACTGAGCACTCACGAAGTGCCAAGCACTTGCTAAAGGCTGACTTAGCCTTAAGACAACCATCTGGCGGACATGATTGCCACTGCCTTATTTTCTTTCTTTCATAGGGAATATTTTAAAGAATACTAGCCCTGGGTCTGGTTCTATGTCAGCAGCGTCCGGTCCCTGAGCCACTCTGCTATGGAGTGTGTCTCTGCCATTTCTTTCCAGGAGGGAACAAAGGCTTTGGAAGGTTATAATGGTTCATTACCCGCTGACATGCAGGGAGTGAGCCTTCTAACCAGGACTACAAACACTGTCTCCACTGGCACATTTCTGCCTCCACAGAAGCCTGCGCCCTGCCTCCCCACTCCCAGCACCAGCCTCAGTCTTTCCGTACCTCGTGCACACACCGGAACAGCTCCCAGTGGAAGGCAGTTAGATGGTTGGCAATGTCCTCAGGCTCCACACGGTGGATCTCGGTGTCTCCAGGGGAGACCTGGATCTCCTCTGGGAGGGGCACCTGGTGGCAGGCAAGGGAAAAGGGGCTGAGCTCCTGGTGGCAGGGTGATGGGCTTCTCATAGTCCTTCAGCCCTCGCTCCCAGCAGCCAGGGTCTGGTGAAAGGGTTCTTACCAGGGCCTCATAGCTGTCCCGAGTGCAGGCAAACAGGTGGCTGTTGATGCCCAGCGTGGTGAAAACACAGTCCTCAGTCGGTTGGAGAAGGACCTTCTCTGCAGGAGAATGAGCTGCTCAATCTCGGCCCCGGCCCCAGCCCCCTGCACCCTCACACACCCGGCCATTGTCGCTGCCCTATCCAGAAACTCCTTAGCACTGCACTGACTCATTCTAGATCAAGACATGTGCTGTTGGGACCAGCAGTTAGCGTAATGGCTATGTCGCTGGACTCCTATGTAGTCGACCGCGGTTCAAGTCCCAGACCCGGTGGCTTAAACTCACGCCGGGCATGTGTGTGTATTTGCCCAAGATCTGAGAGGAAAATGGAGGAGAAGGTATTGAGGCATGGCCATCTGCCCTCGGGGGTGATTTCTCTCTTTCTGTCTCTCTGTCTCTCTCTGTCTGTCTGGCGAATGCATGTGCCCTATAGCAAAAACCTCTCAAAGAAAGAAAGAAAGAAAGAAAGAAAGAAAAAGAAAAAAAGACTTGTGCTGTCATTGCTTTATGACATTTTTTTTTGGAGAGGTTTTTGCTATAGGGCGCATGCACTCACCAGAAAGACAGAGAGAGACAGAGCGACAGAAAGAGAGAAATCACCCCCCAGGGGGGGATAACCATGCCGCAATCCCTTCTCCTCCTTTCTCTCGAGATCTTGGGCACGCACACACACGTGCGTGCGTTTGTGCCACTGGGTCTGGGACTCGAACAGCAGTCTACTACATGGGAGTCCAGCGACATAGCCATTACGCTAACTGCTGGTCCCCTTTATGCCATATTTATCTGAAATTTGTCCACTGTTTTGTTTCCATTTATAACTTTTTTTTTAACCCCCAATGTTCTTTTTTTTTTTTTTAAGAGGTTTTTGCCATAGGGCGTGTGTGCTCGCCAGACAGACAGAGACAGAGAGACAGAAAACAAGAAATCACCCCCCAGGGGGGATGGCCACGCTGCAATCCCTTCTCCTCCATTCTCTTCTCGGGATCTTGGGCACGCACGCACACGCGCCCAGCGTGAGTTTAAGCCACCGGGTCCGGGACGCGAACTGGGGTCAACTACGTGGGAGTCCAGCAACATAGCCATTACGCTAACTGCTGGTCCCACCCCAATGTTCTTTCACAGCTCTTCTCTCACTTTATCACCCCTGTGACACTGGAAAGGCAGGATTTTTTTCCTCTCTTAAAGGATAATAAGATCATGGTTGGGACCAGCAGATAATGTAATTGTTACGTCACTGGACTCTCATGTAGTAAACCACAGTTCAAGTCTCAGACCCAGCAGCTTGAAACATGCCAAGTACATGTGCATGTGTGCCCAAAATCCCAAGGAGAGAATGGAGAAGGGACTGTGGCATGGCCATCCCCCCTGGGGGTTGATTTCTCGCTTTCTGTCTCTCTGTCTCTTTAGCAAGCACATGTGCCCTATAACAAAAATCTCTCTTAAAAAAAACATGGCTACATTGTTGGCTTTCTGCCTTCCCATGAAGACTGAAGACCTACTCTGTGTCTTTAGACAGAAAAATATGGCATCCTTAGATGTTCAGGGAGGCTAAAGAACTAGAACACAATCCCCAGGTGAGTGAAAGACAGTGCCCAGGGGGCCAGCAAGTGGCATGGTGGTTAAGGCACTATATTCCCACATGGCCAACCTTGGTTCTAGTCCCAAACTTGGAGGCTTGAAAATCACAACAAATAAATAGATAAATAAATAAATAGAAATTTAAAAAAAGAAAGAAAGGCAGTGCCTAGGTCAGAATCCAAGGATCTTGGACTTGTGCTTCCCAGATTTTATATCTATCTATCTATCTATCTATCTATCTATCTATATCTATATATACACATACATATACACACACACATATATATACATATATACACACACACATATATACAATACACACACATATATACATATATATATATATATTCACTTTGTTTTTTAGATTGCCAGAGGGTGTGTGCACTCACTAGAGAGAGAGAATTCCCAATGGGGTGTGGTTACACCACAATCTCTTTTCCATTTCTCCTCCTGTCAGGATTTGGGACACGTACACACACATGCCCAGTGTGTTTTTCAAGCCATCAGGGTCAAGAATTGAACTGCAGTCAGTTATGTAGGATCCAGCTCCCCTTACCATTAGGCTAGGGGCTGTCCCCTCCCAGACTTTATATTTTTTTCTTTTATTGTCAGAGGACGTGTGAGCTCGCTAGAGAAAGCACCCCTCCACTGAGAAGTGGCCATGCCCCAGTCCTCTTTCCTCTTTTCCTCCTTCCCATCAGGGTTTTGGGCATGCAGGCACAGGAACCTGTTGCTTTTCTCAAGCCGCTGAGGCCAGGATCTGAACCATAGTTAGCCATGTGGGATCCAGCTCTCTATGTATTATGCTTAATCACTGTGCTAGGGGCCCAGCCCTTCCAGACTTCAATATGCATTGGAATCCCCTGAGGTCTTGTTCAAATGCAGGTTCTGATACAGCAGGTCTGGGGTGGGCCTGAGAAGCTGTTTTGTTTGTTTGTTTAGGAAAATGTTGGTTTTATATATATATATTATTTTTTAGAGATTTTTGTTATAGGATACGTGTACTTGCCAGAGATATAGAGAACAACAGAGAGACAGGAAGTGAGAAATCACCCCCCAGGGGTCTCCCTGGAAAGGCCACACTGCAATCGCTTCTCCTCCAGTCTCCTCTTGGGATTTTGAGCACACATGCACACGAGTTTCAAGTCACCAGGTCTGGAACTTGAACCACAGTCGACTGTGTGGAAGTCCAGCAATATAACCATTATACCATCTGCCGATCCCTGCCCAGCATGAGTTTCAAGCTGCTGGGTCCAGGATTTGAACCACAGTTGGCCATGTAGGAGTCCAGTGCCTTAATCACTATGCCACCAGCTGGCCCCTTAGATCTGTTTTTAAAGGGCAACATATTTAGACAATATAAATACAAGTCCAAATGGAATTGCTATGTCAAAGTCAACAATAATACCAAAATGAGTGCCAACAGGTGGCATGGTAGTTAAGGCACTGGACTCCCACGTGGCTAACTGCAGTTCAAATCCTGGACCTGGTGGCTTGCTTTCTCACTTTCCCCCTTCTCTCTCTCTCTCATCTGTCTCTTGTCAAATTTTAAAATAAAGATAATAGATAAAATTAATTAAGCAACTATTTTTAAAAATAATAATACCAAAATGTGTTCTCACTTCCAGACACTAGCTAGTATCATTGAGTCTTTGCTCAGTGAAGAGAAGGCCTGGTTTTTCTTTTCTTTTTCTTTCTTTTTAAGAGACTTTTTTTTTTTAAGAGAGATTTTTGCTATAGGGTGCATGAACTTGCCAGAGAGACAGAAAGTGAGAAATCACCCCTGCTAGGGGGGATGGTCACATCACAGTCCATTCTCCTCCATCCTCCTCTTAGGATTTGGGGCATACACACACACGTGCCCAGCATGAGTTTCAAGCTGCCTGGTCCGGAACTCAAACCATGGTCAGCCATGTGGGAGTCCAGTGACATTACCATTATGCCATCTACTGGTCCTGGGCATTTAGTATTTTATTCATACATATTCTTCTTATGACCAATGTACTCTACAAATTCTTGTGGACACGTTAACTTTCATGCATCTATATGAGGAGTTTCAAACCCAAATTCATCTTCCATGGCATGATAATCTCTAGTTCCAAACCGTCTAAGCCCAGGTCTTTCATAAAATAGGAATTTACTGGAAGCTTTTCTGGGCTGATTTTGTTATAGAGTTTCAGGACCTAAAGACTGTTGTCCTTGATTTCCTCTGACATCAAAGGAGGCGTGTGGCTCTGCTGGTGGCACAGCTGTGTGGCTCCACCTGGAACCTAAGTGAGCACCAAGGAGGGCTGCAGGGCTCCAGGCTTTATCCAGACCCCCACAGCACACAGAGTGGTGCTGAGTGGGCGGGCTGCGGCCAGCACTGGCACCCAGGGCATTGGTGCAGAGGCAGCAGACACAGGTGGAAGGACATGAGCCACCATGGCTACCCCAACCCTGAGATGCTGCATTTTTAACAAGCTCCCAGGTCAGGCTTATGAGGCTGGTCCCAGAAAACACTTTCAGTAGCAATGGCCTAGAATTCAATTTTTGCCCCTGCCCCAGGGCACTGTACTTATGAGTTTCTCCCCTCCTGCTCACCCAGCCCTGTTCTCCCTGACCCTCACCTCCTGAGGAGGCCACAGCTACCAGGATGAGCGAATCCTCACGCCCTGCGGGCTCCTCAGAGTACTGCAGTTTCTCCGTCACAGAACCCAGAATGTCCTGCACGGATGCTGAAAGGCGGCTACGAATGGTCACGTAGGAGTGATCAGGCATGTAGACCCGGCAGAAGACTGGACAGAGACAAAAAGGCGGCATTTCAACAGAGTGTGGTGGCAGCACTGGTACAGCCCCTTCCAGAGTACCCGTCTTCCCCACCAGAGCTGGCTTCTGAAGATGATGCTGGGAACGGGGCTGGATCTATTGCCCAGGATGACTCCACTGGCGGTGCTCAAGATCCAGAGCCCCTACGTGTCCCCTGAGCCACTCAAGAAGCCCTTCCCCTCCTCATGCCCACACTCACTCTCATCAGAGCCCCGGAAGGCCACTCGGGTCTGCAGACAGGAGTCTATCCGGCGGAAGTGGCGAAAGAGTGGCTTCACCTGCTTGCTGGGTGGCTGGTTCTCCTCTGGGATCCTGGCATGGACACAGCCAGGCATCAGAAAGCCCTGCCAGGCATGTGAGCACCAGGCAGGCAACACCAAGCAGGGATATCAGAACTGGGTCAAGGATGTACCAGCACCAGTTTCAAAAGGTAGTTAAGAAGATCAGAAGAGAGGACATTAACCAGCATGGGACAACTGTCCAACTGACCCAAATCAAATACCACCTCTTCCATGAATTCTTCTCTAACCCACTTCACTTGCTAGAAAGATCACTTTCTTGCCTTAGCTGCTACAGAACATTGGGATAATGTTTTAAAATAATTCTTTTTTATTTCTTATTGTTATTTTTATTTTAATTTGACCAGCGAGAGAGAGAAAGGAAAAGTGGAAAAGTCAGCCACCAGGTCCAGGATTCAAACTGCAGTGGACCATGTGGGAGTCCAGTGTCTTAACTACCATGTGACCTGCTGGCCCCAGGGGTCATATTTGTTATGTTCATGTCTTATCTCTTCTATGAGATTAAGAGTTTTCTTTTTTTTTTTTTTTGGAGAGGTTTTTGCTATATGGTGCGTGCACTCGCCAGACAGACAGAGAGAGACATAGAGACAGAAAGCGAGAAATCACCCCAGGGGGGATGGCCACACCGCAATCCCTTCTTCTCCAGTCTCCTCTCGGGATCTTGGGCATGCACGCACACGCGCCCAGCGTGAGTTTTAAGCCACCGGGTCTGGGATGCGAACCGCAGCCGACTACGTGGGAGTCCAGAGACATAGCCATTATGCTAACTGCTGGTCCCGAGATCGAGAGTTTTGAGGACTAGGATTGCTATCTTTTTTTTTTTTTTTTTTTTTTTTTCTCATCTTCCCAGGTCTAGCACATTGCTTGGCACATGGTAGATAGCAGGTCATCACACGTTTGCTAAATTTTGCCGACTTCACAGTTTGGGAGGGAGACAGACGTGCATACAGCTTCTTCCAACACGAGGCAAGAGGTGTCGGTGATTTAACACAGGTACAGGGAGAGTTAGAGTTAGGCTGGTGTGGGGGAGGGAGAAAGCCAACCCAAAAGGAGGACTGGGAACTCATGTTAAGAAGATGGCATTTGACCTGGGCCTTCAAGGACAACATGAAGAGGACAGGGGCCGGAGTGGGGGCATATTCTGAGGTGGGTGATGTAACAGACAGCAGGAAGTTGGGGAAGGGCAGAAATTGGAGCGTGGTGGGGGTGTGTAGGAAGCATGAGGGGTGAAGGAGGATTTGGGAGCTGAGATGGGAGGGGTCAGCAGAAGGCAGAAAGAGAAGGGTGTAGAGTGATAGGTAACTGCGAGGCCGTGGGGAGCATGGGTGCTTTTGGAACAGGGGCAGGATGACATCATGTGAGATGGAAAGTTCTCTCTGGTATCAGCATACAGATGGGAGAGAAAAATCCAAGACCACGAATCAGCTCTGGAGAGGAGGCTGTCAGTAATCCAGGTGAGAGATAATGAGGCCTAGATGTGGGGATGGGAAGGAGAGGAATCGAAAGCGTGGGAAACATGGATGGATGAATAGAAGGATGGGTAGATAACTTGACGCAGCAGTGGCCTGAAACCAGCTCACAGTAGCTCACAAGGGCAGCCTGTTAAATTTGGGAAATCTTGCCAACTGGTTTTAAAACATAGCCATGGGTAGCAGGCACCTCTGCACCATGCTAACGCCACATAGGAGGCCTGGGTTGGACCCTGGGTCACCCAAACATACCAGCATGTACCTATCATCCTGGCTTGCTGGCGGGGATCACAGTGTGACAAGACTCAGTCAAATGATTCTGTCTATCTTACACAAAGTAAATGAATAAACTTTTACAAAGAAAGAAACAAGCCAGTCAGTGGTGTAGTAGTTAAGGCTGCTGGATCCCACACGGCCGACTATGTGGTTTGAGTCGCAGATCTAGCAGACTGAGAAACACGTGGCATGCATACGTGCATGCCCAAAATCTTGAAAGGAGAAATGGAAGAGAAAGGACCGCAGCATGACCATCCCCCACGAGGGGTGCTTTCTCATTTCCTCTCTCTCTTTAGGGAAGAAAAAGAAGAGAGAGAGAAAAGGACAGTGTGGAAAAATACGTAAATTAATTTATAGACTAAATGGTATCCATAAAGATTTAAAATATAAAAAAAGGAAGAAATGGGTGTGTGTGTTTTATAAACTTATAGTCAAATGAGTTATTATGAAAAAGGTCATTTCCTGGGGCCAGCAGGTGGCATGGTGGTAAAGGGGCATGGGACTCCAACATAGCCCATCACGGTTTGAGTCTCAGATCTGGCAGCTTGCTTTTTCACTTTCCCTCTCGCTCTCTCTGTTCCTCTCTGGTCAAATTAAGATAAAATAAATAAGTAAATATAAAATAAAATAATTCTTTTTTTAAAAAAGATCATTTCCCAGGGTCCAGCAGGTGGCATGGTGGTTAAGGCGCTGGACACTCCCATATGGCCACCATGGTTTGAGTCCTGGACCTGGTGGTTTGCTTTCTCACTTTCCCTCTCTCTCCCTCTCTGTGTGTCTCTCTCTGGTCAAATTAAAGGAAATGAATAAATGAATTAATAAAATTAAATAAATAATTATAAAAAAGGTAACTTCCTAATTTTTTAAAGAATCATTTTATTTAATTTATCCACTTACCTATTTTTACTTGACCAGAGAGGAACAGAATGAGAGAGAGGAAGAGAGAGAGTGAGAGAAAGTGAGGGAACGAACTGCCAGGTCAGTCGGCCATGTGGGAGTTCAGTGCCCTTAAGCACTACACCATTTGCTGGTCCCTCTTAATTGTTTTACTATATTTTTGCTATAATCTATGTTCTTGAGTTTATACCGGTTTTTAAAAATTATTTTATTTAATTTTTTAATTTATTCATTCATTCATTTTAATTTGACCAGAGAGAAACACAGAGAAAGAGAAAGGGAAAGTGAGAAAAACCAAGGTGCCAGATCTGGGACTTGAACCATGGTTGGCCATGTGGCAGTGTCCAGTGCTTTAACCACCACGCCACCTGCTGGTCCCCAATTTATACAGACTTTTAAAGAGATTTTTGCTGTAGGGCATGTGGACTCATCAGAGACAGAGTGACAGAAAGCAAGAAATTACCCCTGGGGGGATGGCCACACCACAGTCCCTTCTCCTCCATTCTCCTCTTGGGATTTTGGTCAAGCATGCACACATACCCAGTGTGTTTTAAGCTGGACTCAAACTGCAGTCAACTATGTGGGAGTCCTGTGATGTGACATAACCATTAGGTCAGCTGCTGGTCCCTAGTTTTTTTTTCTTTTTTTTTTTTTTTTAGAGAGATTTTTGCTATAGGACATGTGCACTCCCAGGAGAGACAGAGAGACAGAGAGAGACAGGGAGCTAGAAAGTGAGAAATCATCCCCCAGTGGGCACGGCAACACCACAGTCCCTTCTCCTCTCAGGATTTTGGGCATGCATGCACATGCACCCATTGTGAGTTTTAAGCCACCGGGTCCAGGACTTGAACCACAGTCAATGACGTAGAAGTCTAGCAACATAACCATTATTTTATCTGCTGGTTCCCACACCCCCAGGTTTTTTTTTTTTTTTTAAGATTTATTTTATTTAACTTTATTTATACATTTATTTATTTATTTATTGTAGAAGTTTTTGCTATAGGGCACATGTGCTCGCCAGAAAGACAGAGAGAGACAGAGAGACAGAAAGTGAGAAATCATCCCCCCCGGGGATGATTGCGGCCACGCCGCAATCCCCTCTCCTCCATTCTCCTCTTGGGATCTTGGGCATGCATGCACACATGCCCGGCGTGAGTTTAAGCCACCAGGTCTGGGGCACGAACCATGGTCAACTACATGGGAGTTCAGCGACATAGCCATAAAGCTAACTGCTGGTCCCTATATATTTATTTGTTTTTTAATTTGACCAGAGTGGGACAGGGTGAGAGAGAGTGAGAGAGAAGGAGAGAGAGAAAGCAAGTCATCAGTCCAGGATTTGAACTGCAGTTGGCCATGTGGGAGTCCAGTGCCCTTAGCCACCATGCCACCTGTTGGCCCCACCCCCAGTTTGTTTGTTTTTTTAAATTGCCAGTGAACATATGTGCTCAACAGAGAGAGAGAGAGAGAGAGAGAGAGAGAAAGCACCTCTTAATGGGGTGTGGTCACACCACAATTGCTTTCCCTCCATTTATCTTTCCCATTGAGAGATATTGGACAAACTCACACACATAACATGGCTTTTGTTTTGTTTTGTTTTGTTTTGTTTTGTTTTGTTTTGCTGTAGGGCATGTGCACTCTCCAGAGAGACAGAATGCAAGAAATCAGCCCCCAGGCGAGATGCTGCAGTCCCTTCTCCTTCAGAATTGTCTCAGGATTCTGGGCACACATACACACACCCAGTGTGAGCTTCAAGCCACTAGGTCCAGGATTTGAACCACAGTCAACCATGTGGGAGTCCAGCACCTTAACCACTGTGCCAACCTGCTGGCCCCACACCCAGTGTATTCTGAAGCCACTGGGCCGGGATTCAAGCAGTGTTGGCCATGTGGCATCTGGCTCCTGACATACTGTGTTTAACCACTGTACTACGAGGCTGGCCCAAGTTTATATTCTATTGCCTTGGCTCGGTGGCAATGCTATATAATAGTCTGTTACTTGACATTTCTTCCCAGCTCCACATTCAGTGACGTCATGTTGGTAGTTTGAAATCATCCACGGTGAGAAAATTTGCACCACGGGAATCAGCAAAAGCTCCAAATTGGGGCTCTTTCTCCTAAAGCCCTGGTTGTTAACTATTTCCTAGTACACCATCGGTACACTAGAACAGAAAAATGGATGGGAGACGGGACAATAAAAATGACTGGAGACACTGCTTTTTTGCTGCCCTCCAGTAAGAGAAAGGAGCTGAAATAAAACCATACGAGAGCCAAATGGCCAGAGGCAGCCCCTGTGATACAAGGACTCAGGGGGACCTCTTTTCTATCCCCTCCCACAACACATTCCCCCTCACTTTAGCTCCACCGTCTCCACAAGCTGGTGCAGCCTCAGTGTGTCCTCTCGGAGGTCCTGGTAAAGGGACTCATCCTTCATAATTAGCAGGTACAGATCCTGGGGAGAGGAGGACAGAAAAGATGAAGGCAGGGGTGTCATCTCAAAGACCACTCTCTGCAAGGGCTGGGGCAGGGTCTCCATGCCTTTCAGCATAAAAGAGCCATAGAAGCTAAGGTCCACTGGCATCACTTCCTTCCAGGTACCCAGCTTGAGAAGAATAGCTCCTACAAAGGGCCCTTTCCAGAGCTAAGAGCCTGCCCACCCACCTTCTCTTGCCCTAGGCCCACCTTGATGATGTGGCCAGCACCCTCTTCCTCCTGCAGCAGCCCCTGGTAGGTGTCCAAGAAATGGAGGAGCATGGCAAGACAGGCCTGCTTCCGGCCCAGCCCCTCAGGGCCCTCCATGCCTCCTGCCCGAACAAAGCTGACCCTTAAGTTAAGAAAAAGCCCTGGACAGACAGACCTGAGGAAACTGGGAATGGGAGACTAAATCGCCTCCAAATAGTCCCTGGATTTCAGGACAAAGGAGTTCAAGGCCCTGGAGCCAAGAAGCCCTGATGCCCCAGCCCAGGTTTTTGTTCAAAGCACATCCAGCTTCTGCTGTTCGATATTCACTGAGGATACGCTATCTGGATCCATCCAGCCTCCAGCTAGCCCAGGGCCCAGGGCTCACCTGGGGGTGGGGGTGGGGGGTAAATACCAGTGGTGCTTACCACAAACCTGACTAGCCCTCATTGTAAGGCCTGATGTTTTAAGACAGCCTGTGATGACATTCTATTGAGTGGCCTGACATTTACAATTAGGTCCCAAAATAACTCAGTGAGAGGCCCTATGCTTACATGAGACCATGAATAGCCCTGCCAGTGGCTCCTCTCTCGCAGACCCTACTGAAGCATAGGCATGACCTGGTGTTTACATCAGACCCTGTAATAACTCACTGGGCAATCCGGTGTTTAGAGCAATAATTCAGTGAGGAGAGAGACACCCTTAATAAAATAATAACCCCTTACATTTGTACACAGCTCTGGCGTCTCCACAGCCCTGCAGCATCTGCTATCAGACAGATCTTCATGGCAGCCCCACAGATAGGCAGGGCAGGTGCTGTTTACCTCCATTTTACAGAAGAGGAAACTGAGGCCCCAGGTGGTTAGGGGCTCTGACCAGGATCACATACCAGGTGAGTAGAAAAGCTGGGTGTGTTCTCTACAGGAGAACCTAGGCTGTGACATCCCGTGGGGGGTGGAGGGTGTGGCTCCCTCCTGATCTCCCCCTTTCACGAGCCCCACAAAAGGATATTACTGGTGTAGCTCTTGCAGAAATTTCTCCGTCGGGAGGAAGAGAGAATGGGTGAGGACGATGTCATCCAGCAGGATATCTGGAGAGGTCAACGGGAGCCAGAGATGTCAGAGGTACTTCCAGGAGCAGCCTGGAAACCCAGCACTCCCCTCTCTCGCCTCTGAGGGCATGTTCTCTTCAGCCAGGCTGGAGCCCCAGCCACCTGCCCTGTCATGCTCTGCATGCGCGCGCGTGCGCGCACACGTGTGAAGGTTCTGGGCAGCCGCTGCGGGGGGGGGGTTGGGAGCGGCCTGCCAAGGCAGCTGGGGGGGAGGGGGTGCCTTAGATGGCCATGCGCACTCCTCTTCAGCGTATGTGGGAAGTTGATCAGATAACACACCAGGCTGGAGATCTGCCCGAAATAAAAGAAGTAGCCCACAGAAGGGTCTCTAGACAAAGAGAACTTCCACACACAGAGGTCAGGACTGGCGATGTGTGTGTGTGTGTGTGTGTGTGTGTGTGTGTGTATCCCCCCCTCCCCTCCCCACTCCCTACCTAACAGCTTCCAGTTCCAACTAGGCAGGTGGGAACCAGCCCCATTAAAAGGGAGGGGGAGGACTGCCATCTCTTTGATCCCAGAGCCTTTAAATAGAAACCGTGTGTCCTCTGGGTGCCCAGAAAAGGAAGGGTTAATGGTGGAAGGGTGGAGGAAGTGGCTCTTCTCACCACCCCTCTCCCCTCCACACCCCCATCAGGGCCTGGCTCAGCCAGTCAGCCAGGTACAAGGTCGCCCTGACTTGCAGCCAGCCCAGGGGTGGGGCAGGGCCGCCTGACACACACAGACATGCAAGGAGCAGGGAGGAAGCCAGGTGCCGTCCTCACCCGGACAGGTTAGGGCCAGGTCCCCAGGCACTGCCCCAGGACAAAACCAAGGCTTCTGAAGGCTCTTGGCTCACCATCCCTTGGCTGCCAATTCGAGCCCTGAAAGCGGGGGAAGAGAACTAACACAAGTCATCTCCTTCAACTATTTCACTTCACAAGTGAGAAACTGAGGCCCAGAGCAGGGAGGGACTTGCGGGAGCTGGCATAAGAACCAGGCTCCCGAGTCTTCCAGTATGCCGGAGGCAAGCAGCGTCAGGGTAGAAGCTAGTGGGCAGATGGCTTAGGGGCTGGCAAAGCCACGGCAAGGTTTGGAGTACCTCCTAGAAGTTCCCTCCTCCTCCCATGCGCCCTGGGAGGAGACCGGGATGGCTCCAGAACATTGTGGTACCGGAGAATATCAGAATGGCAGGGTCAGCCGATTCTCATTCACTCCGGGATTGGTTTTAAGGTTTCCCCAACCAGTTACTCTGGGCATTCAGCCGGCCAGGCCAGATAATATGGGCAATAATCAATGCAGGAGATTTACTCCAGGGGAGACTGAGCAGTCTGTGGCTCTAGGCCCCCATGGGAGGGGAAAGACAGTTTCTCCCTCTTCCTCTCTGGCCAGCTACCCTGCTGTGTTCTTAAAGCAAGTCATAGAGCCCCAGCCCCCACCCTCAGTTCCAGGGATGGCAACTAGACACAGGGGTGCCTGACATCCTTCCTAACCTCTTCACCACACAGGAGAGCTAGCTAAGTCAGAGCAAAGGAAAGTCGTGGGGCAGAGAGGGGCAGAGGCAGATATGGGGGCTACAGTTTGGCGTGTCTCTTCCAAGCCAGGCTCTGGTCCAATGCACAGCCTCCCCAAAGGAATGTGTCATAGAGAGACACAGGGTGTGTGGTGTAGGCGGGAAGTTATGGTTCGGAGAGCCGTGTGTCTGATATTTTTCTAATTAAATCCAAAAGGTGTCAGCTCCCCAGGGCGACTACAGCCTGAGCCAAAGGAGAGGGACCTGGGTCTTGAGAAAAATCTAGGGGAGTGGTACCCACTCCACCCGTGTAGGTTGGGGCTTCCTGCAGAGGGCAAAGGGCAACATGAGAAACCCCCCATCTTTAGGGCTTTGACTAGGGCTCTTAGCACCAAACTGTAGCCCCCCGTATCTGCATCTCCCCCTCAGAGCTCTGGAACGTAGCACAATGCCTAGAACTGGCCCTCCACCTCTGCCACTGGCCAACAGGTTGGGGCTTTGGTTTCTTCAAAGGCCCGTTAGTAGGGGTGCTGGTGGGGAGTGGTGAAATAGCATCACTGTTTAGGGAATAAGCCTCTCAGGGTGTGGTTATTATTTTGTAAAGAGGCCGTGTGTGTGTGTGTGTGTGTGTGTGTGTGTGTGTGTGCTGAGGCCTGCCACGGGAAGGGTGGGAGTCGGAAAGGCTCAGACCCCTGGATGCTGCGAGGCCCTGATGCCTGCCAGGCCAACATCGCCTTCTGAGTGTTCCTGAAAGGGGAAGGCTCACCCCAACAAGCTGCTCAGCACAACCCTTTGCCGAAATCCAAAAGGCACCCTGGGCCAGCACCTGCCCAGCGCTGCTCCACTGAGGCCGGGGCCTGTGCTGAGGCTCCTGGCAGAGTCAGGCACTCCTGTGAGGTCTTTCAGGGCTGGGGCACCTCCGGAGGGTGGCATGGGCTGGGCTGGGCAGCTTCCATCTTAGTGTATCAGGCTCCAATTGTGGGCCACAGGAGGGAGTCAACATCAGGACCCACGGGAGTCTGTGGCTACAATGACCGGGGGAAGGGAGGGGGCTTCAGGAGAGAAAGAGGTTCAGCTTCTTCAGCCCTGGATGAGGCTGCTCCGGGAGGAAGGTGGGCGCTGCGCTCAGGGTCTGCAGCTCAGCTAGGCCCCTGCACCTCAGGATTGCCGGATCTCACACCGGCTCCAGCCCAGAGCCACCGCGGTCTCCAAGGGCACAACAGAGGAACCAGCGGCAACCTCCTGCTCCGGGATGGGATGGGTGGGCCAGCAGACTCCTTACCTGAGGCGGCGCTGTCCCTGGTGGCCCCTCCAGCCAGCCGCTCCAGAACCCGGTTCAGAAGATGCTCCGGCCGCTCGGGGGCGCCCAGGGGGGCCCAGGGCGGCGAAGTCAGGGGCTCGCCTGGGGACAGCTCGTCCGAGGAGTACGAGGAAGGCGAGCGCAGGGGCCCCCCTCCCCCGAGTGGACCGGGCCCCTGCACCTCCTCTAGCTGCAACCAACAGGGCCCCCCGCCGCCCGCAT